TTGTGTGCGCATGGATGGGTGGATGGGGGGCAGGGAAAGAAACATTGTTTAAAAATCCCTTCTTAAGAGTAGCACTGCTTAAGCACTCTTTTGCTTCCTGAATGTATCACATTCTTGATTTAGCTTGGAATGCTTGTCTAACAGCATCCATACAAAAGCCGTGCTCTCTTTTTGTAGGTCTGCTTGGTCTTTAGTGATGATGGTGGGAATCTTTTGTGTGGATGCAAAAGTAAGAAGCGCTATTCAATGCAAACACTGTCTTTCCTCAGAAGCCAGGTTTTCCTGCCAGAGACGATAGCACTTCAGCAGCCTGATGATAGCACTGCTTGAGTGGCTGGGGTTTCCTCCAGGGAAGGAAACCAACAGAAACTCCTTTAGGATTCTTCTGCCTAGATGGAGGTGTCACTCACCTGAGGCCGTGTGTATGTGGAATGTGGGGATGGGTTGATGACATGCTGAGATGACCTCCCTGTATTGCTCATCCAAGAAGAGCATCCTAGAGCACTCTACGACTTCAGTTCTAAAATTCTGCACAAATGTTTAAGAGATATGGTCACGGTAAGTATGCTCCCCACAAACAAACGCACACGCACACATGCACAAATAGTGAACAGCAAACTGAGAGCAAGAGCTCCTGGGCTCTTCTCAAAGGCTAACTAGTCAAAGGCTAACTACTCTAGAGAGTTTTATTAAATATTGCTTTTAATCCCAGAAATAACATATTAGCCTTGTGGTTGTAACTCTGGGGAACCTCACCCCAGGTTCTCAATCGCTATTTGGACTGCAGCCTTGGAGTCTAAGTTGCTTCATGACATTCAGTCTACTTGGCAGATTTCTAGGCAGGAATAAGTCTGTCCCTTAGCAAAATCCCAGCTCTGGCTATCCCAATTACAGGAAGAGGCAGTGTTTGGAGGCACCAGCCGTGGCTTCAGGATCTTGAGATCCATTTCATGTAGAGGTGATACACTAGCAAGATAGATTCCCCCTTCCCCAACCCATCTGCTGCCACCATGTTAAAGAATCTCATTTTGGCTGGGACAGCCACAAATACCACCCACATCACTGTTTTCCAAGAAGTCTGGAGAAGGGCTTTTCTGACACTCAACAGAACAGTGACTTTCCTTCTTTTCTCAGTGTTGAGAAAAACCAAGCATCCTGGATCTCCTTGGTCACAGTTGAAGATGTCCACATGTCATCTTCGGGACATGCCCTGTCTTCCTTTCTCTCATGTCTACTCCTCCCCAAATCCCTACAAATATTATTCGAGGATTTATCTACTGCACAGTTTAGGATACCCATGGCTTAGAGTAAAGGAGTTATCTCCTTCAGTGTTTATACTACATCAGTTTCTTCTAGGCAGAGACTTTTCTGGGTTCCTAACATGCCAACTGAGCACTCCTAACACACATAAATGACAAAACAGGGGAAGGAAGAAGGGAGAGAGATGTCAGTCTGGGGCTGGAGGGAGTAAGCAGCCAGTTCAAACACTAGCAGGAGTGGCACAGCGGGAGGAAATTTTGCACATTTTTCTCCCTCCTTCTGCCCACCCTCCCCATGGGTGTACTTCTCTTCTAATGCTACTGCGACTCTGTTCAGACAACTGTCTCAGAGGTTAAGTCTGGCCTGAGGATGGGTTGTCACTGAAATATGCCTGTTGTATTGACTGAATCCAATCAAAACAACAATAGATGGAGAACAGCCCACAGTTCACAACCCAGCAACAAACCATGAGGTTCTCTTCATGGGTGCTTGGGTTAACAAGCTATGGTTTGTCAGTATAGCTGGGCTCAGACAAAATAATTTCCCGTGTTTTGACAGCCCACATTCAACCCATGGTCATCTTCCAAGTGTGATTGAATGTGATGTCTGGACTCAGTCTGGACCCAGTCAGTGGTAGACTAGCCATTGGTGGTTGGATCCTACCATCAGAAGAAGCTCATAGCTGGCTCCTCGGGGACTCACACTGTCATCGATGTTTACTGATCCCTGTGGACATTCCAAGGCTGTCTTTTGATGCCAACACTGCCTCTGAGAGTACCAAATAATTGCTCCTCGATTCACCACTCTTACAAGTGAGGATAGAGGTCTACATACTGCCCTTGCCCGATGGTCCTTCTCTCCTCTTCCCCACACACCAGATTAATGTAGATCTTATACTGAAAAATTCAATATGGTGCCTCAGGCAGTATTGTAGCCATATTCAGCTGCTTTGTTATTGTTTTCAATCTGCAGCGGCTGCTTATCCGCAGTGGCAATATCAGTTTCCTCCACATTACACAACAGGAGCTCTTGCTCCAGAGCAACTCTCACACCAGCACATCAGGTGATTAGGAGCACACGGTCGGACTGGAGTATAACACTGAAGGAAGATTGCGCACTCTTGCCTAAGCTTGTCTTGGCAATTGTTTGCATCATGTTTCCCATGTATTCTGCCCACCACCCCTTAGAAAAACCTTCCCCTGGTCCCTCCCTAGCATTTGTCTACATTAGTGTGATTACATTAAAAGCAAAACAGCAACAACTTAAAATGTACTCCATGGAATGGATAAACTGTGCACCACTAAATCTCTTGGAGAGCTTTATGTCTGCCAACATTCTGCAAAAAGAAAGCAGGACTCCACAATCTGCACATCTTAATCAAATTCTGCACACTGTTTTGTAGAATTTATTCTCTTGTTCATGCCAGAATGGCATGTAACTGAAAAGGATGTGGGAATACTCTTCACCCTGCCCAAGAGTACTGGAATTTCTATATTTAGGAACTCCTCTGGCTGAGACTTCACCAGCCAAAGGCATTTCTCACATGCTTTCAAGTCTACTGTCCCATTTAAGGGCTAGAAGCCCATGTGTACATTTGTTTTTGAGACACACACAAAATGAAATTGGTGATTCTTCAGAAGCTCAAATGCCACATTTTATGACTCCTTCATGCATCTATGGAACTGTAGCTCTGGGCATAAGTAGGAGCAGCAATAGCAAATGCTAATGGGCCATCCTGGCAGTTCCAGCACTTCTGGCAGCAGGAAAAAGAATTTGCACAAATCCCTTGAGGATGCAATCCCTTAAGAGTGCATTTTTGGTAGTGATCTATCCAACCTCCAACAAAGATGCCCTTCTCTCAAAGCTCACAACTTATCCTAGGAAGATGGAAATCTCACAATGCGTGCAGATAAAATAATGTAATCCACATGGTTTAGGATAGGCAGATGCATATTGGGAAATGGAGAATGTTAAGCACAAACACAATTTAATTTATGTGGGGGGGGGATCATCTGCTCCTTTTTTAGCTTCACTTCTAATAGCTTTTCTGAACTTTCAAACATCTATTTACTTGCTATTCTTTTAAATAGTTTTTTCTTCTGTTTATTTATCCCACCACCCTTAAAATAGAAATCAAATTTGTATTTATATACTTTTATATACAATACAGTTCTGGAATACACAGTGAGCACATGTTCAAAGATTTGTACAGAAACTGGAACATATCTCTAAAGTCCTAAGCCAGTTTCTCTGAGGTGTCATTTCAGATGCACACGGAGTTACACTGGAGTGAGGAGCAAGATGTGACCTTCCCTCCCCACTTGTGGGCTGCTTCTGACCCCAGGAAGCCTACAGGACAATAAGACTGGGCTCTCTTAAACACTACACTACAATTCTGTAGGCCTTATCTACACAATATATTCTACATACCGCTATAATGATCACAGCAACACTCAGGTAACCCTGGGAACTGCACTAGTGAGGGTACCCAGAACTCCCTGCTAAGAGACCACATAGGGAAGTCAAAGGACCCACATGAGTCCCAAAGAGCCCCTTTGAACCAGCAGCTCCTACGTCATGTCCCTCATCCCATGACTCTCTCGAATACAGGTAGTGTCAGCACAGGTGGGACATAGAGGGCCATTGTCAAGGCATCCACCTGGCTCCAGGAGGCCCTGTGTGCTCAGGACCATGGGGCAAGAAGGACTGTCAATGTGCCTCAAGTCAATCCCAAGACAAGGAACAGTTCTCCTCAAACTCAGCTCTGTCTCAGAAGAGAAAGGGGACCTGGAGCACAATCCGAGGCATGTTCAGATAGAAAAAAAGTCTGTTCAGGAATGCTAGAAAGTATAGGACTTCCTTCCATCAAAACATGCATAGGACTGTGCCCTGAGGGGTATTTGAAGTGACCTTCTGATGACATGAGCCTGAAAATAGTTTTATCAACACGTTATCCAACAGAGCATTCTAACGGCTTCCTGCTCCAGCAGCCAAGAGTCTCGGTAGACTGAACCCCCCACGCTGGCTCCCAGCAGGGGCGGCAACCCAGGTGGCCAAGCCAAGCCTTTCTTCTCCAGCTTAGCCACATGACTTGTGCACAAAACACCTCAAACATGTAGCCCTCTTTAAAAGTTGCTCTAAAAATACACAGACAGTTCTGACTGCCAGCAAACAAGTTTCCAATCTGGGGGAAGGAAGAAGAGTTTCCAGAATCCTCCTCTCCCCATTCCCCATTTTAATTCTTCTAAAGCCATCCGTGATATCACCATAAGTCATGCCCCATCCCACCCCTCACAAGCTGAACCAAATCCCTTTCCCCATCCATTTTCCTCCCTTCCCTCCCGCTCCCTCCCCATACAGCTTACAGTCCTCCTATACCATGCACCTATCAAAACTAATGGTACCCTCAAGATGGGGGGTAAGGATTGCCTCACCTGCTTACATCCTGATACAAACTGTAATACCTCCCCCACCCTACTCCCCATTAGATGTAAGTGGCCGAAAGCAAAACAAGAAGTGGGGAAGCAGGAGCTCCAAAAAAGCATGCAAAAATTTGTCATTAAAAAAAAATGGCTCCCGTTGGGTCTTGCTGTGGCACCCAACAGCCTAAAAGTGCATTATCTGTATACAGGTACATCTTTTCTGACCTCCACTTTAATCCCTGGTGAAATTATCTTCCCAAGAAATGCAACCAAGTCATCAGAGAAGTCCCAAATAGGATTCACTTTCAAAGCAGTTATTTTCAAACCAGCCACTCCTATTCATTCCATCTCAGAAATCAACTTAGCTCCATTTAAACCACCAACGGAATTGCAGCTCTTATCTTCAGTTTAATGCATAATTCAGTAAGAGGCATCCTTGCCCACTTCCTCTGCAGGAAGCAACACCAGGTGATTTTCAATGCATTGGACTAATTTCACTTGGGACCGCTTGGACTAAAACGTAGGTCTTTAAAGGGCAGGTTATACAGCGGACTTTCCCACCTGTTTGCTTTAACTTCTGAACAAAATGTCACATGAAAGGAAAGCCTTACCATTCCAGATATCCAGATATTGTGTGCATCCCTTCCCTCTTTTCGTTTCTCGTGCCATAATACATAATAACTACTCTACTTGTCAGATAAACATTGGAAATGGTTATCCTCTAGAAAGCAAAGTTGAAAGTAGATCAACTTGGTATGATCAGCTTGGGAAAGGAGAGTGTTTCAACTCATTATCAGCACCATTCAGGGGCAAAAGTTTCTATGAGAGCAGAACAGTGACTTTCCACACAAAGCTCACAACAGCTGTGTACATGTGGAAGGCGGCACCTTTTCCTCAGCAGCAATTGTGTAATCAGTCTTACAGTGCTAAGAAAGAAGATGCATGTTAACAGTCTAATGCCTAACTGGTCTGTGGAAACGAGCAGTGAAACCTTGAAGAGAAAGCTGTGGTCACTCAGCTCAAGATTCAAGCCTGATTTTCCCAGGCTTGATTCTCAGACAGATCAAGACTGATGACTCCACTGAGGTTCTCCTTTGCTGCTATCAGATACTGGCCCTCTAAATGCTCGTTTATGCTCTTCAGTTACAGCCTCCTACCACTAACAAAAGTTAAAAGGCACTAAGTGAGTTGATATAGTTCGGGTTGATAAACACCTGTGGGAATTTTTAGAATCCTGAGGTGTTGTCCATATGTCCAGTAATGGTATTTTTAAATATTTGTGGATCCTGGAGGCAGACAATGCAGGAGATAGGTCACCATTTCAAAAAAAATAAAGCAAAATAAAAGTTAGTAGCTCCCTCAGAAAAAGTTTCAAGTTAAAAGAGGAGGAATTTTGAGAGAAGCCAGAACAGTTTAAATAAGACCTACAAAACCACTCAGAGGTGTTTTGCACAACCAATGACACGAATGAAGGGGTCATCTCCATGCAGGGAGCACATGGTTTCCTTTGTTCCTCCGTTACCTCTAGTGACACAAGCTTTGCAAACCTTTGAAGCTTTCCAGAATCCTACGGAGAAGACAATGGGGTGAGGATGTCTACTCACTGTCTCTCCTGTCACCTCCAACTTGCTGAAAACTCTGCTGCTCTTCCTAGTCTAGTGGAATGAGCTTTAGACCTCTCTGGGGTCGTGTCTTCTTCTAAATCTCTAGAGCAGGCCATGGTGGACTTCTAAATACATGGCCATCTAAACAGTTTATCCCCCACCATCTACCTGTACCAATTTTCAGCATTGCTGTTTAGGAGCAGGATTATTGGACAGATGGATGGATGAATTTTTATTCTGTAATTCAGAAAAATCTATTATTAAGATTTGTTTTTCTTACCAGACTGTGCACAGAAGTCTGCAACCTTGAAATGCAGAAAGAAAAAAAAGGACATTATCACAACATCTCTTCCCCACCTCTCACCCTGAGAGCATTTTTGCTATCACCCCACCCTCAGGTTCCCATCCACACACTGCCTCCTCCCTCCCCACCCCGTACCTTTAACATCCACCCTAAAAGTGCCAAACCTCCTTTTTACATGCAAATATATCAGTTTCCTGCAAATACATCTAACTTCTTCTTCTATATTTACTCTGTATATATCTATATAGTTCTTATATACATTCCTTTTTTTCTTTAAAAACACATACATACACACACACACATGAAGGATCATATCGCCAGGTTATGGTTTGGTACAAGGTACACGCCTAAATTAGGTACAAGGAAATGCTATGTCCCAGTGTCTTAAGCACACTCTTCAGGGAATCAGGATGGCTGGACAACTGCCCAAGCACAGCCCACTAAAACAAAAGGGCGCAATGTCAATCACCTAACTTCTAATTTTGACTTAGGGTCAACAGACTATGTCTTTACTACAGAGCTGGGTGCTCCAGAAGATACAGCAATGGCCACTTACTTTAGGTGCTTTTAATTTTAGGACTAATTCCTGGAAGACAGAACTGTCCACTGCTCTTGGCCAGAACAGTGAGATCTAGATTAGGGGTGAACTGTGGGGATAAGTCGGGCCTTTGAGTCCTGTTTGTGGGCTTTGGGACATGTAAATCAGCCCTCTTATACAGGATACAGGGTTACAGAAACTCTAAACCAGCAGGGAGCTTGGGTGATGGTGGTAGGGAGCAATCAATCCCACCTTACTCTGCCTCGAGGCGCTAAACAGCTTTTGATCTGTGCTGCCATATGAGGTGAGTTGCAACATGATCCTCTTTGCATTAGTAATATTCTTAGCACCAAAAGAGGCAAAAAGACTTCTTTTTAGGTCTCATGGTGGCAGCGTTGCTAGCAAAAGGCACATATACATTGGCCAATTTCCTTTTTCTTTCTTTTCTTTTCTTTTCTTTTCTTTTCTTTTTTTTTTTTTGGTCTTTGATTTTTGTAATTCCTACCTCTGGAATTAGATTAATGTTCCAAAGCAGCTCAGACTACTGGGGAAAGTCAGTATTTGACTAAAACTTGCATACAGGACTGAGTGACAGAGATCTAATAAAACAAAAGAAAGCCAATCATGAGACTGGGGGCTCCCAGAGGTCTTCAAGCAGGGCAAGGGCTCCAAATGCACTACCAAGCCAAGCAACTGTCCCAAACAATCCAATGGGTGTGAACTCCGGATCCCTGGCAATGTTGTGCACCTCTCAGATTGCACACTGGTTCACAGGCAACACTTTCCCCAGAAAGTGCTGGGCAACTTTTGTGCAGGAAGGAACCACTGAACCCGTGCTGCTGTTCACCCTACCTCCATGATCACTCTATCATGGTGGCACCAAAGCAATGTAGATCCAGAACAGAGGAAAGTGCCCCCCGTCAAGCTTTCTGAATCAAGAATAAATTCCATTGACTTCACTGGAATTTCCTAAGGTGCAACATTGAAAACATTGCCCAGTGGCTATGAGATAGCACCCCATACTTGCATACAAGAGAGTTCCTTATCTAAACCTGCAGATGTTGGAGAAGGAACCTGGGATAAAGGGACGACTGACACCTACCCCTTCCCCATCAGTTCGCCAATTAATGTTATAGCAAGAAAGTATCTTTCTGGCCCTGTTCGCCCCTAATGTTTACAAGGATGGGAGGAAGCAGAGGAGAGAACGGGATCTTGCATGCCGCATCAATACGAGACTTGTGAGTATTTGCATTTCTTTTTCCAGGAGTGCTACAGTGAAACTGTCTCTGTGAAGTTCATGGGTGATCAGCGCTGCCTCATTTCACCAGCAGAGACACAGGGCCGGTCATGAATTAAATTGCTCAGTAAATAAAATCGATGTTAAAACCAGTGATGCTGCTGACTTTTTGGTTGGCTTTTTTGTGGGAATTAATTGGTGCATAATGTCCTCCTTTGTAGCATGCCTGGATCAATGTGGTTTGAATTTGCTGTTAAGTCTGGAATTGATTACAAGCTTCAGAGTATGGGCAGAAAGGTGAGCCTTCCCCCAGAAATATTTTCAGTCACCTATCAGCTACCCCTCCTCACACACACAAACACACCCCAAAAGCAGTTTGCTTTAGTTGCTGCCCTTGCCGTTGTTGCCCCCAGATCTCTCACTCCACCAAACGGACTCTGCAGGTCCATTGCAGTGCCAGAGACTGGCAACAGCAAAGAAATGGGCAAGCAGGTGAGCCATGTACAAATCAGGAAGGGGTATAATGTGGCAACACTTGACGATATTCCTCACTAACTCAGTCCAAACTTCAGCTCCCAGAGATGCTTTTTGATATAGTCAATGCACACAGACTTGTACACATGTCCCTGAGAGACAATTTGCCAAACATTACTGAACAGATGCAGAACATCTGTATTCCATGGGGGCACTCTCTGATCCAGAGCGGGGCCAACGACCATTTTGGCAGGCTTGGCCATGTTATCTGTGTACTTTGCAGAGTTTTCATGATCGTATGATAATACAATCTGCCAGCACGCATTGAGACAAGAAGCTCAGTTAGGGCAAGCAATTTTCCCGGACTGATGGCTCATTCAACCCTACATGCCTTGCCTTGCAACATGCCAGACAAGTGTCTGTTACGAATCCTTTGCAAGCCTTAAAAGGTGCTCCAACACACCCCACAGCGCACATGGCTCCTACTACAGAAACGGAGGAGGCCAAAAAGGTCAAAAGCTGCTCCATAAACCTTTTGTCCCTTTCATTGATAGATCGCCTTTGCATGGTCAAATGATAATACGATACAAAACATTCCTTCCCACATCAGTTGTCCTTCCTCTCTGCAAATAGAACCTGCACATTTCTGCGGAAGCACCGTGATGCATCAGCCTATATGTCCGCAGATGTGGAGAGCACCTTCACCATCACAGCACGGCTGCATTAGGACTGGCACAACACCTTCATACAATTGATTCCAGCATGGAATGCCTCACTCCAAGCCTCTGCAGCTTGGAATCGCAAATCCAGTGGATGCGGTCTGGGTGCCTGGCAATTTCCTTCCTGTCCCAAAGAAATTCTTTCTGCATTCCCAGCCTGTGGGGCTGGGAACACTGAGTACAACTGGGCCCCTGGTGGTCCCCCATGCCTGACTGGTGGCCTGCATTTTGCTTGATGAGCTAGACAAGTGAGGTAAGACATATAAACTGTATAAATACTTCTTGAGGGGGAAGTCGTGGTATACCTTTGTTTCCATTTACATTTTCAAAAGGAAGGGGGATACAGAAACCTTTATAGACCACAGTGAAAGACATTCTTGCTGCCGGTGTTCGTTCATATTTTCATCACACATCTTTGCTGTACCCCCTGGGATTTTCAGAAAAGACTATAAAGCATATTTTCAGAATTACTATAAAAGGAACATTGCAATGGGGACAAAAGTACAATACCCCAAATAATTCCTCACAGTAAACAAATATTTTTGTCTAGCACAGATCGAAAAGTTAACAACAATACCCAAAGCTTGACAATTATCTCCAATACACAAAACTGTTTTTAAGCAAGAAGAGGAGATAGAACGGAAAAATATCTAGCATAGCTTAGCAAAAATTCGAAATCCTAGTCCTCAGAGAGAGTTTCCAAGGAGACTTTCCTGAAGGAATTTGTGAAAGGTCTTTTTAAAAAGACCACAATATGGGAAGAAGTATTTGTGATGGAGTGCATGTAAGTAGGCTATTTTTCACCAGAAATAAGCGCACAGCACATGCACACCCTTGGAGACTTCCCATAGTGATCCTCTGGTGAATTGCACAGCAGCCTAGCTTGGCCTTCTGCAACTCAGACCACCATCTTAGACAACTTCCCCAGGAGGAATTCCCATCGGATTCAGTAAAGCTTCCTCTCAGCAGGTACAACAGATCGGGCCGTTTTGCATCCTTAACTCAACTTTCATTGTGTCATGCAAATGGTAACATTTAACATTTCCAAACACACACTCAAATGAGCATGTTTGAATGCACCTAGAGGGAGCCTTTTCCAGAACAAAATGGCAGCACCCATGTCTCTACACCCATAAGAACACATGGGAAGGCTTTCTGAAAATCAGACACTCTTCTTTCAATTTAGTTGTTTTTATAGGAATTATTCCTGGAGCCGGGTTTACAGAGATGAACATAGGTAAAGAAACACCCCCTACTTTTTAAAAATGTCTTTAGCACCAGTGTCAATCAGTCTCAAATTTTCCCTAACTCCATTAATCAACTATATTAGTAGTATCAGGTATCAGGCCAGGTCTTGTCTGATAACAACCACACTAAAGTCGTGGTGGTGTTTATAGTGGCGGAATGTATGACTAAAAGTAATATTGCAGGAACCCAGGTTGCCAATTGTGGAGGGATTAAATACAACTGAGATCCTGCTATAAAACTGAAAAAGTAGGATCAGAATACAAAGAGCAGTATGCACAATTTTGGAAAGCAGAGTCCAGGTTCAAAGGACCTGCATGTGTCCAGTGGGATTTTTACTGCTTTTCTCCTGCCTTCCCCTACCAGAACCAACTAACCGTCCATCCCCCATCAGCTCCAAACAACCATTTGCAATATAATTCAGAGAACAGCTGACTGAAAACCGGAGTTCCCAAGCCTTCCCTTGAAGGAGTCATATGACTCTTTAAAATTAGATGGAAACTATCCATTTTGTTTAGTACAGTTCTAGCACCCTACATGGAGGTCTCATCCAGGCAATCACAAGACCCCAACCTGCTTAGATTTCCCCAAGGTGGCTGCATCATGTGACTACAAATTGCCCCCAAAGTAGTTTGGAAGAATCCTTTCCTTCTGTCCCTTTTACAGGAAGACATCAAGATCTTTTTTGCCTCAGGATAACAGAAAAGGGCCAAAGGAAAACCTGATTACAGACACAATGAGCAATTAAATTTCTATGGAATTTAGAACAAGGGCCTCAAAGGCATCTCTGACATAATTTACAGCTGTGCTTATGCCCCAAAATTAAAGAATAAAAGGGTTCTGTAATTATCATATTTGTAAACTGGCTGTGTGCCAATGAGTGGTAACAAGTTAAATATCAGCTCAGTATATTTGTCAGAATATTTTGAACTGGAAGGAACATGGGAAATTAGTCTTATGACCTCAAACTAAAGCATGGTGACATATCTCAAAGAAAAGATAATGGGCATTTTCACACATGGACCTTTAAGCAAGTTGCCATTGTAAGCTAAATCGTTTTCTAATGTGAATATAAAACCTATGTTGACCAGAATTCTTGCGTGCATGACAAATGCATCTCTCCTTTCTACTTCACATTAAAAAGGAGCATGTATTCAAACAGAGGGTACAACTAAGGTCCATCAGGACAACTAAATTGCCGTGTGTGAAAATGGCCCATTTGTCTAATCTCAGCACATGAAACCTCTCCACATCTGATGTTTGCAGGTCAAAATAAAAGGATGCCACATGTTGGGGTTCAGGAAAGAGCTCTACCCAAGACCTAATAGGCTAATAAGTAACTATCACTCCGAGGACACAATACTGTGTGAGAAAGACAGGTAATGATCCAGCTTGATATCAGCCTATGCTCAGAATGTCTGTAAGCTTAACAAAACTGACAAAAATGAGCCGACCTCTTCATCTGAAATGAATCAAAAGAATATTGGGAAGCATGGGAAGCCTTCCTGTGCAGACAAATGCAAAACAGCATTCTAGGTCTTTCTTTGCTCCCTGTTTTTCCTGAACATGTCATAAAATAAAGAGCACATTAATCAAAAAACCTGACAAACTGAGGACTTGGGCTGTGAATCGAAGCATACTTTATTGGAAGATGGTGCCACAAAATTCAGTGGAACCTCTAAATGAAGCACGCACAGGACTGGGCAGGAAGCATCCTGTCAAATGGGGAAGAACCTGGAAGTAGTATTTGCTCTCATCCCTTAAGAAGATGGGGGTGTAGCTGTTTTCACCCTAAAGATATTATTCTATAAGTACTACTACTAATGATAATAATACTCAGCATTTGCAGCTTTCATCAGTAGACTTTGAAAATAGACTCTGAAAGTATTTTGCAAAGTGCTTACTTTTACTTCAGCTCTAAAGGTGGAAACACTGATGCAAGAAGTAGGCCAACTTCTGGCATGTAGCAGAACCAGGAAATCTGCATGTCTCCACTTGTCCCTCCTAACTTCACATCAACTTCATTAGGCCACATCTACCTTTCTAACAGGGGTATGTGCATCATACAGGCATCATACAGGCATCTTGAATCTGATGGCCTGATGTTGCGCAGGAGAGCACAACCTGATAAGGAAGCCCAGATGTGATCAGCAAAACTGAAGATAACACGTTGCATCTGATCATGACTATTACAGCAATCGGATAAAAGCCTGCAGGCAGTTTCTAATTCTGCAAGTCTGGTGCATGAGCTGAATGGCCTGCCAATGCAACGGGAACTAGCAGTTCCTAAACTAAGAACAGAAATGAGTGGCAACTTTGATTTCTTAACCAGGGCAGAAGTGAATATCTCCTCCCTGGGAGCTTCATTGACCATCTCAAAACTAGAGCTCTTGTCGCTTGGTTTCTATTTTTTTCCAGAAACTGCTAGTTCCTCTTGCATTACTGGTTCAGTCTGCAATTTCCACCCACTCCAGCCTAACCATGTCTTGATTTGGAAACACAAGGGCTTCAAAGATTACATCACGTGGCATTTATCCGTATTTCTACTCTCCATTTTGTCTTTTCCACCTGTTTCTCATGAATCTCGCACTGAAGTACATACCAGTGTTACTGTAAATTTCCTAGATGAAAGACAAAGGGTATATCTACATTACAAACTTATTATTTTTATATCAATTGAATTGTCATAAATTTCCACTGGGGCCTTGGGCGGGTATTTGAGACTTCCTAGAGTCATTCACGCTACCACAGTTCAGGGGATTGGGAATTATTCTTAAACCTCTCTGTTGCACCCTGAGGCTATCCCTCATGATCACACTCCTCCTGTTTTCATTTCAGGCCAGGATTCAAAGAACCATAATAGTTCTGTACACTTAGTGATATTTGGAGTTTCTGTTTCCTGATTTTTGCAGGTCCTGGGATGCCTAGTCACCGAGCAGGGAAAGGGTTCAAAATCCATTGGACAGAAAAGATAAAAAGATCCAACCAGAAGTATGCAAGACTGTAGGCATGCCCAAAGCAGCTCTCAGCCACACACACTCACATGCACCTTTGCACCAGTTCACCTATTTGCATAGACACCTTGTTAATTTCGCCTACTAATTTTGTTAGCACTGGTCTGCACAGAGACTTGTGATCCACCAAGCCAAACACATTCTCCTCACCATTCACGGTGGGACTACCGAGTATCTGACTAGCATCCTGATTTCTGCAGTCCCAGACAAGCAGCAAGAACATGAGGTTAAGTGATCTCTTGGGGGGTTTATTTATTAATGACATTTTATCCTGCCTTTCCTGCCAGAATTTTAGGATTGCAAATATGCCCCTCCTCCCTACCATCCACTTTATTCTCACGAAAATTCTAGGCTGAGAAAAGTGACTGGTCGAAGGTCACTCAGTGAGCTTTGTGGCAGAGTGAGGTTATCCATCAGGAATTCTTGAATAATTCAACCTCTGCAAATTCTTGCAAGATGTGGCATGATTAGCACCTCTTGGACTATAATGCAGATTGGATTTTTGCTTCCCAACAGATTTCAAATGTATGAAAACATGCATTAAAATATGCATTTTGCATTTTGTGCATTTTGTTGGCACTCTTTCTTCAAAGTGTAGATTAATGCAAAAGTGGAATGGAATAACGGGCATCTGTGACAGGGACTGGAAATAGATTTGCCCATCTCTAAATTCAGTTGTGGTTTCCTTGATCTTAATCCCCCAGCATAACGATGCTGCACACTGGCTCTCAGTGAGTTTTGCTTGGTAGGTTACAGAATGCAGCCCTGGTTAGTAGATTGACGTTTGGATATTTTATAATCCAAGAGCCCAACATTACTTTCACAGTGCCATCCTCATGTCCTGCATTCCTCCCATAGCTGTACTTCATGACCCACGGACAGATCATTTCATCTGAATTTGGACAGTGCACAGGCACTGTTAGGTTAAGCAGAAAAGAAACCAAGGCCCAGCACTCTGGGGAAAGAGAGTATCTGGATAGAAGAGGCAAGACTGAAATAAAACACGAGAAGATTGACGGGATAGCCTTAGGAATTGAAAAGAAGAAGGCGAAAGAGCAACTCAGAAATGGAGCTGGGCCATGAGATGCAGACAATGTTGAACAAGAATACAGGATGAGGTTTCAGGAGTCGCTACTCAATAAGGTCTGGACTCAGCAATGTGAGATTAAAAAGTTACATTCCAAAACTCTTTTCTAGGATGGCTGCTACATGCTTGTCACTGCCGATCCAGAGCCGATCCTGTCTTTGCAATAGAGTGAAGTGAGAGAACAGCAGGGTGGCAGAATGGGCTGTACCATTTCATGCTGCAGGTGGGAGAAGACACCATTTTGAATTTTGAATGTTCCCCAGTTGTTACTAACTTTTCAAGTAGCATATCAGAGAAACAAGATTCCAGCCTGACACTCACCTGCACTGAGCTCATTTTGTACTTGTACTTAATTTTATGAATAAATGTACAAATACATGATCCAACAAGCTGTCTTTGGAGTGGTACAGTGCATTCTACTACCCTGGGATGCTGCCACTTCATTCTGAGGCTGTTGTACAGCAAGCCCAATTTAATATCTGGAGAGCAAAAACAGAGACCAGAAGTGACAAGAATCACAGCAGAACCTTGCCTAGTTTCAGGCATCCACAGAGAGTTTGAGGAACTTCTCCTCACTTCAGCAGAGTTGACGTGAATGGAGGCACTGATGTAGTGAGAGCTGCAGTACAAAGACTATTTTTTCATTGTGTACTACAGTACAGATACTAGCATATCATGGTTAACATTTTAAAATTAGCCACTCTAAACCTACAGTTTGCCAGAAAATACAATTGAGGGTGCAAATATCTGGCATTTTGAACAAATAGCAGTTTTCTTTTCTTGTCTGGAAAAGGAAGACTTCCAGCCTCGCTAGTGTAATTGAAGAAGCTTTCCACGTATGTTGATTCAATTGTGCAAAATGTGAAACACACTCTAATTCTAGATCTTAATTTGACAGATAAAAAAGTAAACTATAATTTGTATCTTCACTTAGAATAGTCAGACATCAAAAGGTGTGACAGTTAAAACAAGCCTATTTCTTTTGTGCTGGTAAGTTTCCCATTACGATATTTGCAACTCCTTTAATAAAACTGAATAATTGGCTCATAAAACTCAGCTTGAAGTATGTGTTATCTAACTGCATTCTGTGGAATCCCAGCCTGCTCCCTGTCTTAGGGCAACTTGTTTTCCCTCCCCAGTGCTTTCTACCCAGATAAATACACATTGTATCCTGCATCTGTTTTTTCCCTTTAAAAACCCAGTCTGCATATGATTTCAGAAACCAGGCTGTAAAATCTTATCCCCTTTCCAGGATGCATAAAACTGAAGCTACCGCACAGATAAGAACCGAGGCTCATGAAATTTGTAACAAAGGTGATCACTGTAAAGCTCACTCGCTCTCTCACTCTCTGCCTTAGATCAGCTCTTACGTTTCCTGATTCTCCGCACAAGATCCAAACAAAGCTAAAGAGGTTTAAACCAGGAACATTTCTTTCTCCCTCCTATTCTCTCATTTAGGATATTTCCTATCCTTGTGGATTGCGTTGCAACTGAAGATGTTGCATGGAGAAGTAAAGCTCCCCCTTGCAGGGGTCAAAGAGATGAGGCTGGGTTTCCTTCCAACAAACACCACAAGAGCCATGCCCATCAGGATGTGATATTCATTGCTTGCTCGGCGCATTCCCCCTGCTGCTACCCAAAGAGAGCACACCTGCAAATATACTAGCCACACACACCTGTGCTTCAGTTGCTTCTCCCCCCAAGCTCCACTGTGCATTCTGCTGTATAACAAGACCTTTGCACCCTTTGGCCCTCCCCATGTCCCCCCTTGTCCCTTCTCTGGCTGGTGCTACTCTAAAGTAAGGTCGCATGCCCACTGGAATCATCATGGTCCACACTATTGAGAATGGCTGTCTGGTCTTCAGGAACCTGCCGGTGGCAGAGGTCATCCTTCAGTGCTGAGAGGCGGGCAAAGGGGTCCTGACGAGGGTGTCTCTTCTTCTTCCGGAGACAGACAGCTTCGTCAGGCCACAGTACCTGAGAGTTAGGATGTTGCTGAACCTGGGAGGCAGAACCATCTGAAGAGGAGAGTGAAAGGGACAGAGGAAGAGGAGAGGTTAAGCATTTGTGTACAAATCATGAGAGGACACATGACAATAATTAGGGATTCTGAAGTCGAAATAAAACAAACCAAACCAAACAGCAAAACATAAAGAAATCGATATTTAACCTAAGATATAAACAAGGTGTGCAGGTATTCATCTTAGCATATGGAAAGTTTTGAGTGATTTGTAGGAAAATAAAGTAACGCCTGGAAAAAAGGAAGGTGTGTTCTTTGCAGAGTGTGGAGGTAGATGCAGCTCAAGAGACTGGTGTTAGGATGAATGAGCCTTAGGAATAAGGCATGCTTTCCTCTAAATGAAGACATAATCAAGAAGAAAATAAGAGGAGGGGGAGTTAGGAGAGATCATTGAGGAACTGGGGTAAAAGGAAGGCGGAAATGAGAGAGACGGAGGGGTTGAGCTGAATGACAGATAGGGAGGGTTGGAAGAAATCCACTGGGGCACTGTGGGAAATACCAGCTCAGGGCTACACAAATTGAAGTCAGGAAGGCTATGAACTACCTTTGGCCTAAGGGGTGGAGGCAGAAATCACAAGCGGGGGAAATACCCTAGCAGAGCTTTCACTTTTGAAGATCCAAGGAACAGAGCAGCCCAGTGACCAGGATAGAAAACAAGCTCTGGGCCCAGGGACAGACTCAATTCCCATTACAAGTCATTGACTTCAATGAGTATTGTGCTGGGCCCAGAGTTGGAGAAGAGTCAGGGGGAGATTAGCCGGGAGTCTCGTGTTCCTCACACTCACTGATTTGTTTTTTGGATTTCGAGGAGCCCTTGGATGACTTTTTGGGCTTCTTTATCCGCTGGTATTTCAGAGCTTCAAGCCTCTCAGGTGCAGCAGCGTTCCGGGTTGGAGATGGACGTTTTCTAGAAAGACAAAGCAGACAAGCGCCATCAGTGGCCCCCTGCCATATTCTGTCTGAAGGGAGGTCTCTCTGCTGGGAAGAGAGCATTCAACCTCTACCAGGTCTGCCATGGAAAAGGAAAAGATAAGGAGTCCCTAGGATGGTGGGATAAGGATCCAGCCCACCACACTGGTGTGGGAGGTGAGACCATTCTCTCACCACATCGTAAATGGAAATGGCGTCATCTCACCCCAGCCCCATAGCAACCCCAACCAACCCTGCCATCTCTTTCTTTGGGGGCAAGGGGTCATGTTTCTGTCCTATCATAAATGCTGCTCAGGTCGAACCAGGCAAAGGTTATAGAAAGACAGTAGGACTGCAGACCCTGGTCATTCCTGTGAATAGAATCCAACTGCTGAAAAAACAAAATAAACTTGGCACCAAGGGTCTTGGCTTAAAATGTTCTGCAATCTTCAAAAGAAGAAGAAAGAGCATTAAAGTAGCAATTCTCATGTCTGATAAGGCACTTTTTGGAACTAGAAGGGAGAAAACTCACGAAAGGCACAAACAGGTATTCACAGGGGCGGGGTAGTTTACCAAATCTAGCAGTAAGGGATGCACCCCAACTGCAGTACATAAAAAGAGCAAGCCAGGGAAGTTATACAGAGGGGTTGGCAGATGCAAATGAAGAGGGGCCCTGATACACCCAAGTCTTTCTAATGTACATTCTCCATGTTTCCAGTGGTGGACGTACAAGTGCTGTACAGTCATACAAAGCACATACACACACCCACCATGGCAAATAGATGTAAGGAAGGTTTTTTTTTTAAATCCCTTGAAAGAAACAGCAGGAATTTGGAATGGAGTCAACATTATTTTGGTTGTATTTTAATGCAAACTTAACCAATTTGCACTCCCAAAATAATAAGAGAACTAAATTTTAGTTATACTTTGGTCATCATAATCTTCCAAATTTTGCAATGGAGCTTTCAGATTAAAAGATGTGTACAAAATATGTATATTACAGAACAGTGTGTGCAAAATGAGCATATTAAAAAAATAATGTGCAAGAAAGTATTGGAGCATATGCTTGCAAAAATGTATATAATAGGCAAATAGCATACAGGAAGGCCAAAATTAGGACTATCATGCCTTTCTGTGGGAAGGTTTCCCCTTACGTTAATTCTATTTGCAGACTTCCCAGGGGCCGGGAACAAATTATTGTGGTTCTACTCTTTAAGAAAAGAGATAACTCACTCCCAGTTAATTACCATCCAGTTAATTTACTGGATGTCTCCTCCAAACTTTGCATGCATTATTTATTGTGAAAGACTGAGGACTGGCTGAATAAAAGCAAAATCACTGGGGATGAACACACAGGCCTCTCTCATGGAGTGCCTGCTATAGATCAGTGTTTTTAAAAATAAAATAAAATCTGCTAGAGTGGGCATGTACAGGAATTTCATTCATATATGCAAATCACACAAACCTGCCCATTTGACCACAAGTTTGAACTCAAGAACATGTTTCGGTTTCCTGAATCTGAGTTCACATTCAAAAATGCACACGTATGCATGGGTGGACCAAATTTCATTTTTAAAAATGCACATTTTCCATAATTGATTTTGCAAAGAATGGGAATACACAGTAGGAAATGCAAAGTAGATGCTTCATGGAGGAATTCAGAGAAACTTAGTGAGGTTGAACACCCCTTGCTATATGGAAGACAAATCACAGAACCATAGAAGAGTAGAGTTGGAAGGGGCCAAGAAGGCCATAGGGTCCAACTCCCTGCTGTTGCAGGACACCAGTTTACACCAATCTCAAACATGCAGGCATCCCTGAAGAGTCCTTATCTGTTGCTTTTGTTGGACTAATTCAGCCTCCCACAGAGATGATTTGGTACAAACGAGGGAAATCTGGGACAGATTGGTGCTTGCTCATTAAGAGATTGTATATAAGCACTTAAGTGCAATCGGATAGACAGGAGAAGTCAATATTCTGAAGAAATTCTGTCAACAAAGACCATGATGCAAGATTGTCTTTTGGCTCTTTAACATGTATGTGAAAGATACCAGCTATCTGATGAATCCAACTGCCTAGCAACTGTGGACATGTGGAAATGGAATAAATTGCCAAATGCAAATGAAATGGCCCTGCTATCCCAGACCAAACTTCTTAGGAGATTGTTCGGATTGAGAAGTATGTACCAAAGAACAGCTCCACATGGATTATTCTAAGATCAAAGCTCTAGTTTTTGGTAGCTGCTCCCCATAACACAAGTGGTTCCTGGATGGCACCAACTGGTTCAGACTACTAAATTTAAGTCCTTGTAGATCTGCTTTGCCCAGACCAGCTCATGGGCCAGTCATTGGTCAGCCAGGAAATTAAAAGCTCAGAAATCTATATTTTCAGTTTTAAAATTTGCTACAGTTAAAGGTGGGAAAATAGCTGTTGTGCCTTTAGAAGTCTTTGCTACAAAGGATCTTCATGTGACACAAGAAGGCAACAACGACAACAATAGTGACAGTATGGAAACTGATGCAGAAATGGAATGAAATGAAATGAACAATGACAAACTGAGCAAAACTAAAACTGACAGATTCATCCACCCCTAGAAAACATACAACCTTCCAGATTACCAGCAACCTCTCCTGCAGTACAAGCATATATCTGCACCTTTCTAAGGTCACATCTCGAACAACTTTGGACAATGACAGCCCAAGGTGACTGTCTTTGCCACAGGGAGACCACAGACTGGCCAAACAGCTGAGCTGCAACTCAAAACAAGACTATTCCATCCATATCTATGGACTTTATTTAGGATTAGCTCCATGTGCCACCCTATTGCAGGCCATGTTCATGATTTCTTGGAGCAATGCCTTCCCATTTATCCAAAGGGAACAGACTATCCAAGACTGAAAACCCAGGTGATCTGGCCTTCCAATGAAAGTGTGATGAAAATAGAACTATTGAATAGGAACATGCATCTATTGGACTTCCAATGTTTGTTAATGTGGAACAGAAGAAATGGATGTGAGAGGGGTGCAGGAATGTGCTTTAAAAGGATATGTTCCCTTTTGGCACATCTCCTACTTTCCAACCAACGCCATACCATTTGGCCTAATGGGCAAAAATATGTGCAGGGCACAAATAGAGTTGGGAAGAGCCTGGGACAAGAACTACAGGAACGTTCATACATAGAGTTCTGAGAGCAATGCACTGAGAGAACAGGTATATAAAAATCTTAAATAAATATGAAAATAATGAGCAAAAAAGCTATCTGTAATCCCCATTTGACATTAGGAAATATAAGCAGTAAAAGCCAGATATAAAAATCCAGTAGAGTGAAAAGATGGAAACCAAAAGGACATCTAACCCAACTGGCCACCCCTTTGTTCTTCCGGAACATTTGAAGACATGTTAATAGTGAAGAGGTTTCATTTCATCACTTGTGAAATACTAATGAAGAAAACTGCATTTGTCTAGTAAAAGCTCAGCAGCAGCAGCAGCAACAATCTGCCTTTTTAATGCCAGGCAACAAAGGATGTCAAGCCACTAATGTTCATAATAAGGGTTTGGAAGTTAATATGCTGCCTGTGTTTCATATTCAGGTGCATGATACCTTAGGGAACAGGTGAGCATCAGAAATAAAACACCAGGCAAGAAACATTCTATCATGGTTGAGGACTGTGACCTGTTCTCTCCTCTGGTAGAGGGAAGGATGTGTCCCAGTGGATCAAAGCTCAAGGAACCAGGCTTCAGGTTGGATGTGAAGAAGTACTTTCTGATGGTTAGACCCTAGGATATGGCATGGGCTTCCAAGTGAGGTGGCTGAGGCCCCATCAGTGACGATGGTCAAAGATTGGACAACCACATGTTTGGGGTTACAAGAACGGAGCCAGCTGGAGCCAGGGGCCAGACTAGATGGCCCAGAAGGCCCCTTCTGACTCACTACATTTCTATGTTTCATTATTAGACATCTCCTTCATGCAGTGACCATATATAAGAGCAATGTCACCAAGAGCTTTTTCTCCCATGCCAGCCAACTGGGTCACAGCCTGGATCTCAGGTTTGCCGGCCAACTGGATCACAGCCTCCCATTTTTTGGAGTTTTTCGAAGGTGAGAGAGGATTTTTTGCAGAGGAGAAATAGTAATTTTCGTTTCATTTTTGTTTTGTGGGGGTTTCATTTTTGGGGTGTGTGTGTATTTTTTTTTTTAGAGAAATAGTAATTTTCGTTTCAGTGGTCAGCGGGTTTTATATCTTTTCTATTGTTCCAAATCTCCTCAGAAATGTAATCTATTTTCTTTGCTAAAACTATCTATACTTGAGGTACTACTACTTTCAAAGGAACTCTTTTACTTGGGATGAGGGACTATGAAACCTCTCCATTTATTTCTATGAATAAGTTCCCACACTGAAAAGAATTATTTCTTGTTCAGGGCACTTATCTACAAACCATATTGTTTTTTTTAAAAAACCATGTTGTTCTTAATTTTTTTCCTGAGATTTGAATGACGGTATATCAAATGTGAAAACAAATAAAAAAACTGGAAAAGTAATGTGTGCTTATAGCAGGTATTTCAAATAGATATTTCCCCAGAGAAGTTTGCCTGGTGCCGACATTGTATTCCTTTTGGCACCAAGCAAAACCCTTTTTTATTTTCCCATAGTTTAATTGATCTTAAATGGGGTTTTAGTATTTAATTGTAGGATGCTGTGGTGCTTGTTTTATTATTCTTATTTTTTGTAAGCCATCCTGAGATGCTAGTAGTGGATGGGTTAGAAAAGTTTTTAATAGATAGAGAGATAGATAGATATTGTATGCTAGAGGGAATCTTGCCTAAAATTAACAGACTGGCTTTAATTGAATGTTAATGCCTGTTGCTCATCACACCTTCCATTCATTAGCTGACATCCTTGCAACTCATTCCACATATTGTTTAACTTTTGCTCGACACTATTCCTCCCAAAGGCTGAGTGACTTTCTTTTGCCCACAGTTCCAAATTACAAATCCAA